ATAAAATCTAGAGCAGGAGTAAAGGGATCACTATCTAATTCCATCTTGTCAACGCTGTCCCAAATTGCAGCAACTAGTCTAAAATACTTCTGAAAAGGATCGGTCAAACTCGAGTAAATTACAGGGTAACAATCACAGGATGAGAATTCAAAGACGACTTTATAAATCATTATTATTATTTCATATTTTTGCTACGAAAACATGATATTACAATTATACATTTCTATTTTTATGAGATATATACTGATTTTTAGGAGGATTAATGGTTAACCAAGAGACGGTCGTCCAGGAGGTGTAAAGTTTGAAGGTGGTTGAGGGGAGGGGGTATTATTCAGTTATTTCCGGGTCGTCATTTAAGTCTCATCCTTTAAAGATTTGCCATCCCGGCTGACCTACGTTCAGTTCTAGATCAGTTTGGGTCGGCACGTCTGACTGTAACCATATCTTGTAGCTTGGCCAAGCTATCCTCCGAATTCAACATTTATGTAATTTGCGACATGTAACTGTGCCGCCATGCTGAGCTAAAATGAGGTTTGCAGATTTCGAGCACAAAAGTTGCGGATTCCAAACAATATGCATTAATATATTTGACTAGCTCGGGAACCCAGCTTTGTTTGTATATATGAGTCGACCCACTCAGACTAGAATTTTTAAACCAAATTAAGAAGATTCCCAAGATTCTCCTGATTTCCCCAATTCAAATTTGAGGCAAATCGGTCCAGGAGTTTATGAGTTATTATCGGAAATTTGGCAATACATTCATGTGCAATGTATGTTAGAGGAATTAAAAAAATTTGGGTGAAACTCAATTAAGTAGGTGTAATTAGGGCGAAACATGAGTTGGGTGAATCGTAATTTGGGTAAACGTAGTATTGGATGAAACGTGAATTGGGAAAAACGTTATTGGGAGAAACGTTTTGGGTAAAATGTGATTGGGTGAAACGTGATTGGGCGTACTGTTACCACACCTTCTCAACCAGTATTTTTGAAGATTCTTAATCAGAGAAAAGTTTAAACGTCACTGCGTGTTGTGAATCATACATGCCACTCTTCAAACAGAGACAGGTATTATTGTCTGGATTCAAACATATTTTTGGAAGGCTTTATTCGAATCGTGAATCATTAGCAGAAATTCAAAATAAATGCTTTAAATCCTTTAATAGAATTGTTCTTTAAAAGTCCTTCACAGTTAAAACTTTGGTTTCGTATTTATCTGTATCAAACTGAAATATTTGCCATTTATGCAAAAATGCAAACATTTGATTTCAAACAAATATAAAGGTTTCAAGCTTTCACTCAATAATCTTTGGGAATTTTGCAAATAACTCATTGAAAACTAAAGCTAAAAACTATTTTTAAAATGTACAAGTTTGTTAGTAAGGAAAAGAAAAAGTCCAAGTCATTGCGACACATTGTTCTTGGATGTACACAATTTATTTAGTTCTCAATGTGAGATAACTAATGCTTGGTCAAGTAAAATGCTTTTTGTACATTTTAATAAATCCTGCAAACCTGATATTTGACTAGCGGGCCAACTAACCTGGGCATAAAATCTAGAGCAGGATTCATACTAGCCCCGGCATTCCTGCCAAGTGCTAAACCAATTCCTGTATTCATAATTAGTTAGCATTAGCAATACACATAGATTAGCAATCCATAGGCATTATCAATGCATAAATATTAGCAATACAAAACATTAGCAGTACATAGATATTAGCAATACATATACATCAGCAATGCATAAATTTGAACAATAAATATACATCGGCAATACATAGATATTAGCATTACATAGACATTAGCAATACATAGGCGTTAACAATACATCAGCAATAGCAATGCAAAGATATTAGCCATACATAGGCATTAGCATACATATACATTAGCAATACGTAAGCATTAGCAATATATAGTCATTAGCAAAACATAGATATTAGCAAAGCAAAGATATTAGCAAAACATAGATATTAGCAATACATAGACATAAGCAATACACAACGATTAGCTAAACATAGGCATTGACAATGCATAGAATCAATACATAGGCATTAGAATTGCAAATATATTAGCAATATATCGGCATTAGTAATGCAAAGATATTAACAATAATTAGACATTAGCAATACTAACATAAATATTTACAATAAATAGGCATTAGCAATGTTTAGACATTCGTTATGCATAGGAATTAGCAATACATATATATTAGGAATACATAGGCATTGGCTATACATAAACATAAGCAATACTTAGATATATAGACATTAACAATACAAAAATTTTAGCAATACATAGACATGAAAACATATATAGATAAACATTATAGATTAGCAATACAAATTGAGATTAGCAATAAGATATTATAATAATACATAAATATTAGCGATAGATATAGGTTAGCAATAAATAGAGATTAGATACATTCAGATCTTAAGTATACACAGATTATTAATACATACAGATTATCAATATCTTACATTACATACAAATTAGCAATTGCAATAATAAATCCGAATACAAATTAGCAAAATAACACCAAAATAAGCAAAAAGACCAAACCAAAACAGGTCAGCCATGAAATATTATAAAAATCATATTTAGCAATACGTTCCGTTTTCTAAACAAACTTAGCTGTTGGTTTTATTACATTTCCCGTCACATAATCCAAATATAAAAACCTGCAACAGAGAGGCCCACAAGAAGTCCAGGGGGCGAATGCTCCTTAAAACGTATTTCGAAAATTCTAACAAAAAGAGTAATTCATATTGCCAGGATTTTTCATGCTTTTAGCTCCCCTCTTTCTTTATTAATTTTAACTGACATTTTGCCTGTAACATTTGTACAATTTAGAAATATATATTTGTTCTAAATTCTGTTGCATACATCAAATGTATATCTACATAGAAATAACACCCGTACATCCAAATATTAATTTAAATACTAAAAAATATTCGATTTTTTTTAGTTTTCCTTTGTTGATTTTTTAAAAATAATATAATTCAAATTTTAGGAATTCCTATCAGCCATAAACATTTTTTCAGATCGAGTGAGGTACCACAAAAATATTGGGCATTATTGGGTTAACTGTGGGCTGTTTTGACAAAATTTGGATTGATACAGGCCAAACCAATTTATAGAAAATGCAATACCTGATCATCGACTGATAGAACAATTGATAGAAGAAGGAAAGTTGCCAGAAATTGATCGAAAACCTTTCAAAGCAAAATTTCGTCAAAAAACTCAACGGTCAGTGGCTGAAATCCCAAAAACGTTTATTCTAATTGAGCACTTGGAAATTATTTTTACTGTTGTTAATGTTATTTATGATGGATCCACATTTGAACTACTGCCGTTTAAACTATTGATCGTTCTAACTACTGATAGGTGAAGCAGTCATAACAAAATAGTTTAGATAATAAAAAAATATTTCACCATGGACATAAAAATAATCCAAATGACCAAAAATTAGTTTAAATCAAATAGTTCAAATGAAGCATTTAATAGATTATATGAAGAATTTAATAGTTCGAATGAAGCATTTAATAGTTCAATTGAGCTAAAAGATAGTTCAAATTAGCAAAAAAGTAGTTCATATGAGCAAAAAAATAGTTCAAATGAGCAACAAATATTTCAGCAATTTTCAACAAAATTTATAGTATATAAAGGGTCATGCTAGAGGCCGGGCGCTGCAGCCACATATCCATCTTTAGCCATGTGTTAAATATGAGATGCTCGAGTGTTCTTTTTTACTCATTTAAACAATATTTTTGCTCAATTGAACTATTTTATGGCTTGTTTGAACTATTTTTTTTTAATGAAATATTTTTTGGATCATTTGAACTATTTTTTTGCCCATTTAAACTTGTTTTTGCTCGTTTGAACTATTTTTGGATCATTTAAAATATTTGTTTGATCATTTGAATTATTCAAATTATCACAGAATGTTCAATGGTTCAAACGCAAGTAGTTCTGACTAAATAGCATCAATTATGTATCAATCAAAAGTCAGAAAATTTAAAGTTGTCAAAAATTGAGAGTTTAGAGTTTATGACATAATAAAGAATTTTCCAAATCTGCATACCAAAAGAGAGCATATTGCATTGGACGAATTTTAATGCCAAAGTTTCTCACCAGATGGAAGGGTGTTATGGCTAGATCAGGAAAGCTTGTGATACATTCAGGACCAACGCCATCTATACTCTCCCTAGAATATTTGCGGCATAATCGCAGAATTAATACAGTAAGAAAAAAGCTGATCTGTCCAGAGCGCGGTCAAATTCAAAGAGTTTGCCATTTTGAGAGTAATATGAAAGCTAATATGGTTCTTAAATACATAATAGCAACTTCAAATTGTTCAACATTTGTTCATCTATACTTTTGACTTCTTCAATGCATTTCTTGAAATTGATCCCTACACTGTAAACTTTAGTTGATTTGAAGTGCCGGACTGACATGTCTAACAGTAAAAAGGGAAGTCTCTGTAAGACAAAACGGGACAGGTACACCAAATATATAATTGAGTACAAATATCACCTTTCATTTGTACACTATTAGTTGAATAAGCTCCTCATAATAATCGTTGATAATACTAAATATTGTTCTATTTTAACACGAAAATTTACAAAGGAAAGCAAAAAACATCAAATTAGTTTTAAACTCTCGAAACAGTCAAAGGATCTTAAAAACAATCTTTAAATTGAACCTCTACCTTTACTTAAACCTCTACCTATACTTGAACCTCTACCTATACTTGAACCTCTATATATACTTAAACCTCTACTTGTACTTCAACCTCTACAGTAATAACCAGAAAACAATAGAATAGGAAGACGACATTATAACAATACTTAAGTGTATTTGATGTTGTTACAAAGCAAAAAGTTTTACTAGACACTTATTAAATCACTAATTAAGTAAAATGGGACTGTTTACACCGCACAACTACTATGTCTCATGCTCATTGGTCTTTTTAATTATAACTTGATCCTAGAAGTCGTCTCCCTATTTCAGAGTTTTCTGTTTATCACTGTACCTATACTTGAACCTCTACCGATACTTAAACCTCTACATATACTTGAACTTCTACTTTTACTTGAACCTCTGCCTTTACTTGAACCTCTACCTATACTTGAACCTCTACATATACTTGAACTTCTACTTTTACTTGAACCTCTGCCTTTACTTGAACCTCTACCTATACTTGAACCTCTACATATACTTTAACCTCTACTGATACTTGAACCTCTACCTATGCTTGTTCCTCTACCTATACTGAACCTCTACCTATACTTGAACCACTACCTATACTTGAACATCCACCGATACTTTAACCTCTACCTATGCTTTAACCTCTACCTATACTTGAACCTCTACTTTTACTTGAACCTCTACCTTTACTTGAACCTCTACCTATACTTGAACCTCTACCTATACTTGAACCTCTACCTATGCTTTAACCTCTACCTATACTTGAACCTCTACATCTACTTGAACCTCTACTTTTACTTGAACCTCTACCTATACTTGAACCTCTACTGATACTTGAACCTCTACCTATACTTGAACCTCTACCTTTACTTAAACCTCTACCTGAAGTTTAAAAGAATGAATCCAGCCCCTAGTCCTGCTCCAATATATTGCCCAGCTAAATATGCGGGCAAATCTGTCCAGGATAATTTACCTAGTTAATTCTAAACTTTTTTTAATATAGAAACTGAGCACTTGTCACAAACTCTATAGTTTTCAAACAAAACAAAAATTCAAATTATTCAGATCAATTAGGCACAGTTTGAAAAATTGAATGCCTACATCTTCAAGTTGCAAAGTTTTCAATCCCTTTAACGATAATTAGGCGTATAAAGGCGCCACGTTAATAATGCGCCACCCAGCACCACTTTAGTATCACCTGGTGACCAAAAGTGGAAACTCTAAATTCTAAATTTTTAAGCAATCAATAAGAAAATCAATACTTGTTTACTTGTTTTTACTTCAATAAAACGGTTGTAATGAAGTAAGGTTTTCTGTGATGTATGCCTGCAAGAATGGGAGTTTTTAAGAAGAATAATTAGACTCTTCGATGCATGAAAGGGAAGGAAACCCCAGACCCCATGAACCTCCGCCACGCAGACATGTGCCTCCCAGATTTGCTAGGCAGACCGAGCCTCCGCCATGCAGTGAGAGACTTAGCTATGCAGGAAACGAGCCTCTACTATACAGCAAAGGTTACTTATAACTCTTTTCATTTTTATTAACAAGAATTTTACTTTAGATTAAGGTCATGTTTATTGATTGTCATTATTTGAAACTTATATTCACTCATAAAGTAGTTTATAAGATTTATGTTTTGCAATAAAACATTTCTTATGCAGTCAGGAAGCTGTTTGGAAATTCATTGCAGAATTGAACTTGGTTTATTTGTTTTAATCTTTGATTTAAGAATTACCTTTTTTGGGATTCTTTTAGATTCAGTTTATTTGTCACTGTCAAATTTTTGATAATCTTAATTTGATAAATTTCAAAAAGAGGTATTACTTAAATAAAAGATTATAAAATATCAAATCAAATTACTTTAGGAATTTTTTCTCTAAATGCTTTCCTTTTTGCGTAAAAATATTTCAAGTTTTATAAACAACTTTACTAGTCATAATTAGCCACTATTTATAATAATCGATTAATACTTATGATCTTTGACAAACAATGTATGCCCCTATGTCGAAAAAAAAACAAAAAAATCTTTTCTACACATTGAAACCAAGAATTTTAAAGAAAATATTCTGTAAAGCGGAGGCTCGATTACTGTATAGCAGAGGCTCTTACTGCATGGTGGTATGCTTATCAAATCTGGGAGGCTTGTGTATGCAAAGCGGAGGCTCATTGCGTCCAGGGGTACCCTCCCTCTTCTGGGGGAAGTAAAAAATTTAATTCTTTAAACATTAATATTTCAGCATTGTTTCAAAAAATGTCACCAAATTTCTAGTAAGAGTTGACTGATGAGTTTTTTTTTAAATTCAGTGTTTCACTAAATTTAAATTAAAATTTTCCCTTGATAATATTATTAAACCTGCTGCCCAAAGTGTGACTGATACAGCTGGATTTGTTTGAGCTCCACTAGCCCCCCCGGTCACTGAAACAAATATTAAGTTAACCCTAAACCCCTGAATATGCTGAAGGGGGGTGGGGGGGGGGGGCGTTTGACAACCCTTAGTTTTTTTTGACGCTTGAAATTGTTTAGGGTAAATGTAACTTTTTTGCGACTAAAGCTACAGCTCTAAAAACTGCTTTTTTAGGAAGGGTGGGGTGGGGGGGGGGCTATACATAGATTCAAATCCCGATGCCTAGGGTTAAACATCTATTAATGTCCCTGATCGATATAAGTTGAGATTTTATACCACTTTTGGACAAGTTGACTTCAACTCTACTTTAAGTTGAGATTTTATACCACTTTTGGACAAGTTGACTTTAACTCTACTGGGCGCCGAGATTTTTTACCACTTTTGGACATGTTGACTTTAACTTTACTTTAAGTTGAGATTTTATACCACTTTTGGACAAGTTGACTTTAACTTTACTTTAAGTTGAGATTTTATACCACTTTTGGACAAGTTGACTTCAACTCTACTTTCAGTTGAGATTTATACCACTTTTGGACAAGTTGACTTTAACTCTACTGGGCGCCGAGATTTTATACCACTTTTGGACAAGTTGACTTTAACTTTACATTAAGTTGAGATTTTATACCACTTTTGGACAAGTTGACTTTAACTCTACTGGGCGCCGAGATTATTTACCACTTTTGGACAAGTTGACTAACTTTACTTTAAGATGAGATTTTTTACCACTTTTGGACAAGATTTTTCAAGATGACAAGAGTCGACTTTTTAAGTCAACAAATCAATTCTATGAGAGATGTTTTCCTTTTTCTGGTTTGAAAAGTGTTTAATTCTAACAATTTTCTCTATTAAAGCTGTAGCATGTTTGAAAATTTTGATCAATTTAAAAATTATAATATAATATTTTTAGAAAAATTATAAAAAATTTATTTTTTGTCTTTGCAAATGTTGAACACATATTTTTCCAAAACCAACATTATATAAATTTTGAATTAGTGATTGATTAATAATTTGATAGATTATTGATTGTTAATTGATTAATAATTCATAAATAACTAATAAATAATTGATAAGTAATTGAATACAAATGATACCTAAAATAGCCATCATAACTGCCAACCCACTGGCAAGACAGCCAGGTAAATGTGCAGAGGAAGTAGTTAGTTCACCGTGATATATACCAACAGCTAAACTTATCACAGCTCCCTATTAAAAAATATATTTTTGAAAATACTTTAATGTATTTATAGTCTACAGACAACCTACAGGGTTTCCAGAAAAAATCTAAGTTGATTCTTGAGTTTTTGATATAAATAAATTGAACCTAGCTAAATCTAAGGTTGAAGCTTCAATGCAAACCTAGATCCATGGAGTTGAGAAAACAGGACTGGTCTAAACTGAAAAATTTTGTCTGGAAAAAATGTTGTCTTTTTAAATTTAGAAATCCACCAGTGTTAACAGAAAAATCCACAAAAATACTCTGCGAGCTCATTTTATGTTCTATATGTGTATGCTTATATGTATAAATATGCATAAAATAAAAAAAAAATAAAAAAATATACTTTCACAAATAAATTTAGTTAAATTTTACAAACAAGGAGTTCAAGGCAACCTTTAAAATTTGACTTTTATTCTTTTCTCCATTTTTAAAAAAAATTTAATTTTTTCACTTACCTTTGTGACCACAGTTAAAATAAAAGTTCCTATAAACAAAATTAATATTATATCTGATGGACGCAAGAGATAAGAATAAAATAATAGCAATCGCCATCAAATATTTTTCGACAAAAGCCTAGATATAAACGTCTATTGTAAAAATGAAATTCACTGTTTGTTAAAAATTAATTTTAGGCAACAGAATTCAAATTTATTTTTCACAAACCTAAAAGTTCTCCTAGAAATTCTTTTGGTTTAAAAAGTTCTTTGAAGGTTATTTTTGTTTTGTTCTCGATTATTTGAACAGGTAAGTTGTCAACAACAATATTGTTGATGTTGGTGTTGTTGTTTTTCTTGAGCTCCATTTTTCATACCAACAGTCCTCAGATTGCTTTGGGTATCTGAAGAGAATAGAATATTCATTTAATATTATCTTTTAATACATGTTATAGACTTTCTTTTTAATACTCTTAATAAGGATTATACGATTATACCATTGATGAAGTTATTTAAATGATCTTATGGAAAACAGAGGGGGGTGTATATTTTCATGAAAAGTCGTTGAGAATATTTTGTTATCCAGAATTCAGGACTGTTTGTGCAGTGCGATTTTTTCTTATTTAGGGTTTTATGATTTTTAGAGGGAAAAAAATAAAATCTTTGATTAAAAGTATCATAATTGGATAAAAAATATTTGGTAATTTTATGTCAGAGCCATGACCAGCTGGAGGTGGAATAGAAAGCTAAAACCGAAAACAGTTTAAAAATAAGATAAACAAGAAAGAAGAAGAAATTTTAAACTGGAAAATTAGAAGGGCATTTGAGCTTTACACTTTTTTTTCAGTGATAACGAATTAAGACAAACACACAGGATGGCAGACATTCCATTCCTCTCTATGTCCTACTCGAAATAAAGCTGGAAAATGTTTATAACAGGGGGAGAGAGTAGTGACTTTGGTCCTCTCAAAACAGGTCCAAGATAGAGGGTTCAGACAAATAGTTCTTTCTCTTGCAATTTGGCAAACTGCTGAGACATCCCAAAAATTCATTATTTTTTTTTTCAAAATTAGCCAAAGTATGATTTAAGGAAGGACGAGGAATGGACGATCAAGAAGAAAGATTGAAAAACAAGAAATATATAAGTCTCAAAATGTTTCCATCTGATATCATATAGAAATTTAAAAATAATGTAAAACTTGATTAAAATAAATTTTTAAAGTTAAAATATTATAATGATACTGATAATAATAATAATATTATTGATAATTATAAATACTAGCTGAAGTGCCAGGCGTTGCCCTTGGAATTTTAGTGAAACACTTGAAAATAAATTGAGATTTTTAAAAAAAAAAACAATTTATTAATTTGCCTATGATACTCCCCCAGGGACCAATAGGGTTCCCTAAAAAATCAGCCATTTAGGTTCAGACGTTTGACCAGGTATCTAGCTAACATATATATTTACAAATATTTGAATATATAAATAAACAAAGAGATTTATTAATTATAAGATTGTTATTTTATGTTTTCAAAAATGATATTGATAATGATATTGATATTTAGAATATTGATAAATTTATTGATATTCATAATACAATGATAATTGAAATGATAATATTGTGTTTTTGATTATGATATTGATAATTATAATGATATTGATGATACTTTTGATACTGATAATGAGATGGGTAAACTTTCTGATACTTATAATGATATTAATGATAATATGTTGATATTTACTTTGCTATTGAAAATGAAAATATAAATTATAGTGATTTTTATTGATAATATTGAAAATATTGATTTTACTTATATTGATATTATATTAATCCAAGTAACAATTTTGCGGAAAATCCGCGGAAATTCCCAGGAATCTTTCTTAGGAAATTCCGGTGAAAATGTCGACAGCTATTCCAAGGAATTTCTCGTAACCCATTCCGAGGAAATTCTCATAACTCTATCCAAAGAATTTCTTCTAACCAATTCCAGCAAATTTCTTATTACCAATTCTGCAGAAAAACCGGAGAAAATGTTGACAAAATTCGTGGAAATATTTAGGAATTTCCAAAGAAAAGTTCTTCAGAACCAATTCCTGGGAATTTCCTGGGAACTATTCCCAAGATTTTCTCAAGAGTTCCTCAGGAATATCTTGAAATATTCTCAACATATACCTGAGTAAATTCACTAACCAGGACTTAGGCCCAATAGTAGTGAATAACTTAACAACTATATTGTCCCTCCAACTTTTTAGAAGTATAACCATCTTCTTAAATCAGAATGTTATAATCGTTTTTGATCTTACTGAAGTTGTCATGTATTTTGTTTATTCAGACAACTGAATTGTCAAGAAAAAATAAAAAAATGAAAAAAAAACTATACAAAATATTTTTTAAAAAGATGGTTCTAAAGTAAATTATCATTTTTTATCAAAAAGGATGCAAAGAAAAAAAGATTTAGTTAGGGCAGTGCATAATAGAAGAGAACTTCAGAGACACCTATTGGAGAAAAACGGAACCTGAAAATTAAGTGAAGAAGTCCTGAAAATTTCTCATGAATTTCTGGAGAAATATTCCAGAGAAATTCTCAGGAATTCTCAGTAATTCTCAGGAATTTCTGGAAAAAAATTCCAGAAAAATTCTTAGGAATTTCTCGAAACTTATTCTTTTATTTAATTCCCCTAAAAATCCGTAAACTTGGTAACCAAGTCCTAAGAATTTCTCAGGAATTTCTTGGGGTGAAATTCAAGGAGAAATTCCCTGGAATTTCTCAAAATTAATTCTCTTATTCAATTCCCCTAAAAATCTGTAAACCTGGTGACCAAGTACTAAGAATTTCTCAGGAATTTTCGGATAAGTAATCAGGAGAATTTCTCAGGAATTTCTTGGGGTGAAATTCCAGAGAAGTTCCCGGGAATTTCCCAAAATTAATTCTCGTATTCAATTCCCCTTAAAATCTGTAAACATGGTGACCAAGTCCTAAGAATTTCTCAGGAATTTCCGGAGAAGTATTCTTGAGAAATTCTGAGGAATTTTTCCCCACAAAATTCTTTAGAATTTTTCCAGAATTTCTCGAAACTGAGTCTCAAAACTGTTGTCCCCACAAAAATCTCTCATCTTGGGGACCAATTTTGGGGAAATTCTCGAGAATTTCCGAGGAATCAGTTACAGGAAATGATTCTCGAGAAATTCCTCGGAAATTCTTCTAAGAAAGTCACCACGATTGGAGAATATGGGGAAATTCCTCACTTTTGTTACTTAATATAATATAATATAATATAATATAATATAATAATATAATATAGATTAAGATGTTGATAATGATAATAGTTTAATAACATTTAAAGAATTAATAATGTTTTTAACTGAATGTAAAGTGCTTTTGATAATGATATGGAAATAATATTCGTAACAATTTTGATAATAGTAACACTTAAAAAACTTGAAATGTATTTTTATTAGTTTGTATGAGACTAGTATTGCTTCTATTGATCTGAATCTGAAACTAAACTGAATGATTGAACTTAGTTTTCACCTTGATTTTAGATTTCTAGATTATCAGACTAATTATTTAATTTCTTTGAATTTTGTTGGCATCCCCCCTCCCTTTCACCTCCTGTCCC